CTTAGATCACCTCTCTCACTATAGAGAGAGAGAGAGAGAGAGCTTTTTTCACATATACGTTTAATATTACAAAAAGGATGAGTTCGTGTGTATATTTATTATGCGACTTAGTTAAATACTTGTATTTTGTCTGTGAAGCTTATGTCACATAACACGTGTACATTATTTGCCGAAGGATATAGTTACAGTGCTTAACATTTTCCTTTATCCTGGAAATTATATTTTTAATAAAAAAAACTTGCTCTAAAAACACGTATTCATGAGGCGAAAAAGTTGGTTAATATTTTGTAAAGAATATAATTGTGCATTTAGAGGTTTTACAATATAATAAAATGTAGTAAGAATGGAAATTTTTCAAAGAGCCAGAATAATTCTTTTTTTCTTATGAATTTTTAAACAAAGTATTGTTTAACTTTTATGTGATATTTTTCGTTAAAAGTAGTACTATTTTTATATTCCATAGAATTTTTATTATTATGTAATGAATTTTGCACTAAAAATTGAGTAAAAAATTCTTAAACTACTAAATTAAATTAGTAAAATTTGACTAAAAATTAGTGAAAATTATTATCTTCTTAATTAATTAATTGTTTTCTACTAATAATTTTCACTATAATTTAAGTTAGTAATTATTTTTACTAATTAAATTAAGTAATAATTTTTTTTAAATTTAAATTAGTAGGGGAGCGTGGGGGAATTGGAGCCCCTTAAGGAAAATTATTTAAAGAACCAACTTATCTTTATAATAATACATTGTTTTTGTTATTTCCTACTCATTTTGTTATTTATCTTTAATTATGTTTAATTGGAAAAAAAAATTTTTCAAAAAAAAAATACATTTTTTGCGATCACCTAATTTGTGGGGTAATGGGAGCTTTCACTTGAAATTTAAAAAATTTCTATATTTTAGGAATATTTTTTGTTTTCTAATAGGAAAAAGTGTTAATACTTACAATGAAGCCAAAACTTTAGACTTAGAATAATTTTTTTCCTAAATTATAATTGAATAAAAAATTTTTGAAAAAAAATTAAATTTTTCATTTTTCCCACCAAAAATTATTTTTTAATTAAAAGTTTTTTCATAAGGTGATATCTTTTACAATTTTCAAAGAAATAACCCGTGTGGAAATTGAATCTGGGCGCTAGCCATGCTATGTCCGGGGAGCCCAACTACAAGCTAGCCCCTGACCAGAAACCTAACTTTGTCATGGTTAACTCGGGCTATTTCCACACGGGAACGAAATTCGCAACATAGTAACGAAAATTCTTTAGTCTGACACTAATTCTCCCATTACCCCACAGAATTTTTACAGGACAAAATTTGAATAAAAAAATAAAAACATAAACAAATTTTATTATTATCTCGATTTTTTCAAGGAATTCATTTAAAATTGTTTTAAAAAGTAATTAAAATCTTTCAAGGAATTTTCTTGTATGAAAATAATCGAATTCTTGTGAAGAGTTTCTTTAATAATTATTTAAATTAGAAATTTTGAAATTAATTGAATTTTACGAACAATTTCTTTCAAGTTTTTAAAACAATTGTGTTTGTTAATAATTGAAATGATTGAAATTAAACATTTTATTATTAAATTTTATTAAAATTTTATAGAAAATAATTAAATTCTTTTTAAAAATTTTATAAAGAATTAAGAAAAAAATTGAATTCTTTTGTGAAATATTTTTTGAAAATAATTGAATTTTTTCGACGAATTTATTTAAATTCAGAAGATAGTTGAATTTTTTCGAAAAATATTTTATTATTTAAAAATTGAATTTTTTCATGAAATTTGATTAAAATTGTATATTATAAATAATAATTTTTGCAAAAAAACTTTAATATTATATATAATAATCGTCGTGATTCCAGATTTCCGGATCTCTGTCCACACTTGAAGTTAGTTATAGTTATTCTTTTGTTTTTTATACGTTTTGATAGAAAATAGAAAAATATACATATACATATACATACATTATAATAATCGTAAGTTTCCTTTCCGTTAGCAAATTATCTGCATTCATTTGTTTGTTTTGAAAATTTAATTTTGTGGGTTAAGTATTGGCATTTTTTATATATTTTTTAATGTCAAACTTTTTAATGTGGAAAATACTTTACTTATTAAATTGTCTCGACTCTTTGGTAAAAAATCTAAAATTATCGAAAATTATCAAAAATTCAAAAATCCGATTTTCTTAAAATTCAACATTTTTTCCTCTCTTTTATGGGATTTAGCTTCATTATTTTTGTGCTTTTGGAAAATACTTTACTTATTAAATTGTCTCGACTCTTTGGTAAAAAATCTAAAATTATCAAAAATTCGAAAAAATTCAAAAATCCGATTTTCTTAAAATTTAACATTTTTTCATCTCTTTTATGGGATTTAGCTTCATTATTTTTATGCTTTTTGTAAATACTTTACTTATTAAATTGTCTCGACTCTTTGGTAAAAAATCTAGAATTATCAAAAATTATCAAAAATTCAAAAATCCGAATTTCTTAAAATTCAACATTTTTTCCTCTCTTTTATGGGATTTAGTTTTATTATTTTTGTGCTATTGGAAAATACTCTATTTATTTAAAAGTCTCGACTCTTTGGTAACAAATCTAAAATTATCGAAAATTATCAAAAATTCAAAAATCCGATTTTCTTAAAATTCAATATTTTTTCTTCTCTTTTACGGGATTTAGCTTCATTATTTTTGTGCTTTTGGAAAATACTTTACTTATTAAATTGTCTCGAATCTTTAGTATAAAATCTAAAATTATCAAAAATTATCAAAAATTCAAAAATCCGAATTTTTTAAAATTCAACATTTTTTCCTCTCTTTTATAGGATTTAGCTTCATTTTTTTGTGCTTTTGGAAAATACTTTACTTATTTAATAGTTTTGACTCTTTGGTAAAAAATCTAAAATTATCAAAAATTCGAAAAAATTCAAAAATCCGATTTTCTTAAAATTCAACATTTTTTTTTCTCTTTTATGGGATTTAGCTTCATTTTTTTGTGCTTTTGGAAAATACTTTACTTATTAAATTGTCTCGAATCTTTAGTAAAAAATCTAAAATTATCAAAAATTCGAAAAAATTCAAAAATCCGATTTTCTTAAAATTCAACATTTTTTTTTCTCTTTTATGGGATTTAGCTTCATTATTTTTGTGCTTTTGGAAAATACTTTACTTATTAAATTGTCTCGACTCTTTGGAAAAAAATTATTAAAAATTATCAAAAATCCGAAAAATTGAATTTCTTTAAATTCAACATTTTTTTTCTCTTTTATACCATTTAGCTTTATTATTATTTGAATTTTTATTCAAGAGAAAAAATGGAAAACTGAAAAAATTTAGAATTTTTTAAAAATTACAGTCCTTTTCCATGATTTCCCTGATTTCCAGAAGCCTTTTAAAAATTCCATACCATTTCCATGATTTCCAGATTCTGTAGGAACCCTGCTTTTGTCTGACTTTCTTCTAAATTATCGAATTCAGTGATTTCTGGGGTGAATTTGGTCAAGTTGTAAAATGATTAATTTCTATTTGAATTCGTTTGTTTTGAATGTAGAAAATCTGATGTTAATTTAATTCTTTTTTCGTTATGCACGGCAAAAAATATTTAGCTGGATGAACTACAGATTTCACTTTAGTAGCGAAATTATTCAGTGCTTCAATTAATACTTTCGTTATTCTAGAGAAACTTATCGCTATTTCAAGTAAAACTTTTTTCAGTGTGTAATAATTATTATTTCTTTAAAAAGTATTTAATTTAAAATGGCTTTATAAAATAAGCAATGCAAAAGATGACCCAGATACTAATTGTAATTGTTCTAGCCATAGTTTAAGTCTAGTAATGTAAATTCTATTTAAATTGAGACCATTGAGTGAAATTATTTGAATTTTAGTTAGTTAAATCTCTTTGTTAGGTTATAATAATTATTTCTTTAAAATTTTTTAAATTGTTTAAAATAATAGCAGCCCCATACAACATTCCCGCGCGGATAGTTTGGCTAGTTTGTAAATAAAATTGAATGGAGTAAAGGATTTATTAAAATTTTAGAAAATAATTGAATTTTTTCGAAAAATTTTTTAAAAATTGAATTCTTTCATGAAATTTGATTGAAATTGTATTAAAAATAATATTTTTTGCAAAAAATTTAAAAATTTATAAACAAAATTGAATTGAGTAAAGGATTTATTAAAATTTTATAGAAAGTAATTGAATTCTTTTGAAATATTATTGAAAATAATTGAATTTTTGCAAACATTTGATTATTTAAAAAAAATAATTGAATTGCTTCGCTAGTTATTTAAATAATTGAATTCCTGTGAAGAATTTTATAAATATTTTTTGAAATAATTTAATTTTTTTGATGAATTTTTTTAGTAACAATTTTGGAAATTATTAAATTATTTTGAGGAAAATAATTATACAATTCTATTGAAAATAAATGAATTTCTGTGAAAATTTTATTATTTATAAAAATAATCAAAGTTTTTGCAAAGTACCTATTTTATTAAAATTTTTTTCTTAAATAATTGAATTCTTTTGGGAAATATTATTTGAAACGTAAATATTAAAAATAATTAAATTTCAGCGAAGAATTTCATTATTTGGAAAAATAATTGAATTCTTGCCAAAAAAAATGTTCTTAAAATTTTTGAGAATAATTTCTATATTTCAATTATTAGCGGATTTAAAGTAGTGTAAATTAAAAAAAAAGAAAAAATCTCTCTAAATTTAAATTAGTGAAAAAAATTTTTTTATATAATAAAATTGAAATTAAGAAATAAAATAAAAATTTAACTCAAATAATTATTAAGGTCCCTGAAAAGTTAGCATCGTCGCTGAGAGTCGAAAATAATTTTTTTTTTTTACGAAAAAAGAAGTAAACAATTTTTGCAAATATTTCAGGTTTAAAAATCATTAAATTACTAAAAATAGTTTTTAACAATTAAGATTTAAGAAAATTAATATTATTATTATTGTAAAATTGATAAATACTCACTTGAAAAGTGTGAGCTGCACTTTTAATATTACACTCGACAAACTTCAAGTCAGCTAGGTCGATTTCGTCAAAAACGGCAGCCTGAAACAAAATATTTAATGGCGCATTGTGAGAGACTTATTGGGGATAGAGTATAGTAATTTTTTATGAATGAAAAGTTATTTTCGAAAATGGAAAAGAAGTTAAGAAAATTGAGACCAGGGCAATAATTTTGTATTCTCCTGAATTATTTCCAAACTAGAGCAAATAGACGGGAAACTAAATGTCAATTACTGAATAACTGATGTTGTCGACCCCCTTTTAGATCGAGAGCTATTTGCAATCAACTATTATATTGGAAGCTGTGGATAATCCCATTATTGGCATAACTTGCAAGTCAAATTTAAAATATCCCGAATAACCTTATTAAAATTATATTCGCTTAAATGGCTAGTCAATAGTTATATAAATATAATTATTAAATTATTTTTCGTGCTTTCAGACAATTGTTGATATTATTGCAAATATCTGCAAACTGTTTTTATTATTTTATTATTTTATTATTTTTTTGTACTTTGTTTTTTTTGTCCATACTATAATTATTACTATTTATTTATTTCGTGAAAAATTCTGAGAAAATTCAAATTATTTATTAATATAATTAGAATATTATTTTATATAAAAATTTCTTTACTCTGATGAATATAAGTATAAATTTATATTTATAAGATATATTTATAAGTTTGATAATATTACAGGATATCGCAACTGTTTTATTATAAATTTCATTCCACGACAAAAAAAAAATTCTATAAATAAAAAAGTAATCAATAAACATGTATTGTGTGTTTGAGATATTATTATATTAAAATTTAATAAGAGTTTCGAAAATTAATTTCTGCAGCTAGTTAACAATAATGTGATTAAAAATGATTATCATTATGATAATCTCTCAAATATAAAATTAAATTTCATTTGCGTGCAAAATAATTACGTTTTTGAAATTTACTTTAAATGAGCAACTAAATTAATTATTAGGTAATTTATTTAATTTCGATATTTCACGGATTAGATTTTACTTATTTTCAAATTTAGCATTATAATATTTTTATTTTAATTTAAAATTTCTACCACTTTTTGTATAGGTATCTATATTTATATTTATTTACAAGAATTTATTAGAAATAAATTTTATTAAAATTTGGAAAAAAATTCGAAACAAATTTTTATAGATTTTTTCAAAAATTATATTAGAAACGAATTTTAAAAGTATACGCTTTAAATACGGAAATTATTGATTCGAATACAATTTAAATTTAAATAACATTATTTATTTAAAAATAAAATTTATTTGATTCAATTAAATATATTTTAATTGACAAAAATTTAAATTTAAATTTAAATACAATTCTTATTTAAAAATAAAATTTTTTTGATTCAAGTAAATATATTTTAATCGACAAGTATAATCGGTGATTTGAATCAAATAAATTTTTTTTTCACTGTACATCCAACAAGTAAAAAAAGTTGTTTAGAAATATTTATTTAGTTAATTGTTAGATTAAATATTTTTCCACAATTTTTCTAAGGATATCAAATTGAAAAAGTTGCTTCGCAATATTTTTGATTCCTATTTTTGTCACAATTTGATATCCTTAGAAAAATTGTATGAATAAAAATCTGAAATTAGAAAAAAATACGATTTTCCCTTTATTTATAAAATGTGAACATAAAGATCACGTTTTTCATGTCACGAGTGTCGGAGTGTACGAATAATTGCAATTGAACAAAGAAACTATAAATTCATTTTTCAAAAATGAATAGAGAAAATTTCACAATATATTGATTCTTATATAAACCATTGAATAGCGTAATAATCTTTTGTGGAAAAAAATATTTTCTATTATATTTGAAAATAAAGCTGAGAAAAAGGAAATTTTCTCTCTAAACTTTTTTTTAAAATAATAATCTTACCGAATAGAAATTCTTCGCAAAAATTTAATTATTTTCAAAAATTTAAAGTTTTGGCAAAATTTTAATTACATTTATAAATAATAAAATTCTTCGCAGAAATTCTAATATTTTCAAAAATTTGAATAATATTTTTGACAAAATTTCAATTATCTTCATAAAAATAATAAAATTCTTCCCAGACATTCAATTATTTACAAATTTTTTATAAATTTCTTCGTAATAATTAAATATTCTCATAAATTATAATAAAACTCATCGCAGAATTTCAATTATTTTTAATCTAATTTAAATCGAATTCTTCGCAGAAATTCAATTCTTTTCAAAAATTTTAATAAAATTCATGGCAAAATTTCAATTATTTTCAGAAATAATAAATTTCTTTGTAGAAATTCAATTATTTTTGAAAAATTTAATAATATTCTTGGCAAAATTTCAATTATCTTTATAAATATTAAAATTCTTCGCAGAAATTCGATTATTTTCAAAAATTATAAAATTTTTCACAGAAATTTAATTATTTTCAATAATTTTAACAAAATTACTGCCAAATTTCAATTATCTTTATAAGTAATAAAATTCTTTGCAGAAATTCAATTGTTTTCAAAAATTTTGATAAAATTTCATTAATTAATAAAATTCGATGCTAACTATTCAAGGACCTTAATAATTATTTGAGTCAAATAAATTTTTATTTTAATTCTTAATTTCAATTTTTTTTATTCACAAATTTTTTTTTCTAATTTTAATTTAAAGAGATTTTTTCTTTTGTTTTTAATTTACACTACTTTAAATCCGCTAATATAATTGAAAATAAAGAAATTATTCTCAAAAATTTTAATAAATTCTTAGAAACACTTTAATAAATTTTAATACAGTTCTTTGGAACGATTCAATTATTTTCAAAAATTTTAAGATCATTTTTTTTTTGTCAAGAATTCAATTATTTTCTCAAATAATGAAATTCTTCGCTGAAATTCAATTATTTTCATGAATAATAAAATTTTTACAGAAATTCATTTATTTTTAATGCATATTGATAAAAAGTCTAAATTCTATATATCGAACAATTTTTTTTACAATATTATTCAATTAGTAAACTGAATTTTATTTGACACTTTTGTTTGACAAAAATAAATTGATTAAAGACACTTAAATTTTGAAGTTTAAATATATTGTATGTTTTTTATGATTCAAATGGTATTTTTTAATTAAATCTTTAGAATTTTTATTTCTTTTGGTAAATTCAGTCTCCTATAAAATGATAATTCAATAAACTTCAAAAAAAATTCCGCATTTTTTACATTTTTTGATACTCTTGCCATTCCGGTTACGCAGAATCGGGTACTTTATTTATTTCAGAAAAAATAATACTTATAAATTCTATTAAAAATTTCTTTCCCTCAATTATCAACATTTCAATGTATTCAATATATTTTTCGGATGAATACTAACAATTATTAGGGTATAGGCGAACACTTTTTCTGAAAAAATATTTTCTAATCATTTTTGTCTAAAAAAAGGCGATTTCTAATTAAATCTGTTTTCCGAAAAAGTTTTTCTAAAAAGTTATAATTTCTAATGTTTATTTTCCTAAAATTTGTAAAATTCCATAATTTTGATAAAAATTAGAAAATTGTTAAAAAATTAAGATTATGAAATAGAAACTATTTTACATATTTTCTGTTTCTCAATCACAATTCTGTTTACAAAATTATAAGTTTCTTTTTGAAAATGAAGAAAAATTTTTATAAAATTACTATTTCTTATCACAATTTGTTAACAATATTCTGTTCTTCTTTGAAAAAAAAATAATTTGCATCATTTTTACACCAAAATTTCCAAAGTTAATATATTTATAAAAAAATTTTGTAGAAAATTTTAAATATCTTTAGGAAAAAAATCCCATATAATTTCTATTTGTTAATTACGATTTTTAACTAGATTATTTTAAAATTTTGTTAAAAAATTTGCATAATTTCTATTTTTTATTATAATTTTTTAACGAAATCTCAAGTATTTTTTTTTTAAGAATTAACAAATTTCCGTAAATTTTATTTTTTAATCATATGTACCTATTGATCGTGATTACAAAAATTTAATATTATTAGAAAAAAGAAAATTTTGAAAATTACCTTTATTAGATAAATAAATTTTTAGAAAATTACCTTTATTTGAATACAGAAAATTTCCTTTATTAGAAAAAAGTTCTTTAGAAATTCACCTTTATTAGCAAAAAAATTTTTTAGAAAATATAATTTAGAAAAACTGTACCCCAACCATTATTAGAAACATATAAGAATGAAAATTAAAAGATTTGAAGAAATTATAATTTAAACCTTTTGAGTTTGAATTTTATTACATTTATATGAGCTTAAAAAATGTTTGAGGGATTTCATAAGAAAATTACATGTATAAAAATTACATTTGAAACTTGAATTGAGTAGAGGCATGTTTTTTCACTTGGTAATTATATTTATTTTAATAACAGAAGCCATTAAAAAAATCGCAAAAGGATCCAAGGCAAGAAAAGTAGTAATTTTGATTTTTCGAGGATTTTCTAAAAATCTCGGTATTTAAACTAAATTATAATTTCCACGCCTTGGAAGTAATTTTTTTCGTTTGCTAATTATTTATTTTAATGTTACAAGTCGTTAAAAAAATTTGCAAGAGGATCGAAGGCGGGGAAAGCAGTGATTTTGATTTTTTTCAATAATATGATTTATTTTATATTCTAGGATTTATGAAAAATCCGTGATAAAAAATAATGCTCACTGTTTTCCCCGCCTTGGATCCCCTTGCAATTTTTTTAAGTGGCTTCTGATACGTGGAAATGATAATTTAGTTCAAATACCGAGATTTTTTAAAAAATTATAACTATTATAAACATGGAATAATATAAATTAAATTTATTAAACTTTTTCTGTGGAAGGCAGGTAGACAGATTGCTACCGTGATATGTCTGCAAATCATTCACGCGCGCGTGGGATTTTGCTAGTTATTTAAATAATGTTAATAATGTTCGTTGCAAGAATTTAATTATTTTTAAAAATTTCAAAAAAAATTCTTTGCAAAATTTCAATTATCTTTATGAATAATAACATTCTGTTAGAGTTACAATTAAAGAAGAA